TCCTGCTGACATTCTTGTGTTCGCTCTGGGATCATCTCCAAGTTCAACAACCTGATTTCCTCTAGAGCCCCTCTAGTGTCCTACTTCCAGCCCTCTCTCTAAACTAGTGACATCATTTTTAAAAGGGACTTCCCAGGCTTTCTTTTACCTTGAAACAAGCTAAAAGGTTCTTCGAGAAAAACTAAAACATGCCATACCATTTGACTTCAGGAAATGCAAATGATTCAAAATATTTTTTTCCTATTTTGGGGTTTCTCAGAATTACAACTGAGGTCACCTCACTAAACATGTGAAGACCAAAAGAGAAAAGAAAAGAAAAAAAGAATCTGCATGCATGAGAGACAAGTCTGGGCTTGTACATCCACAGCAATCTGTTTACAGATTTCACCTGATACAGATCCCATGGTTGCAGGGGGCCATGGGCCAATGAACAGAGCCTATTACTGGTGTGGTGGCTGGCTTCAGCCCAGACTGTGAGTCTTATCCTCCCCTCTAATCTAACCTGGCCTGCAGAGCCAAAGAGATAATGAGGACATGTGTTATTCTAGCAAAGCTGAGCCAACCATTCCCATTCACCTCACTCATACCCCCAGCACTCACATGGTATCCACAGTGAGGAGAAAGAGATGCACTAGATGATTCCATTCAACAAACATTTATAGAGTATCTGCCTGGCCAGGCAGCAGGGAGGCAAAAACAGTCCTCTCAGTCCTGAGAGTTCACAATCTAATGGAGGAAGCAAGTAAGCAAATAGAGGGATCAGAGGAGTTACACTAGAAGCAATGACTGCCAGACTGTGTTTCAGACAGTGAGTAACTTGCTGAATGAAGAGAGACATCAGGTAGAGGGAATAGCTTGTACGAAGGTGGACTAACAAGATAGCATGATGTGTTTGAGAGCACCGCATGCCCCAGACTCCAGTCAATAACCCACTCAGACATTAAGTCCAGGCAGCCTGAATTTGAATCTCCACTCCATCAACAACACTTTTAGAGCTTCAGTGTTCTTATGTACAAGAAAGAAATCATTGTATTATTCCTGTCATGAGTTGATTGTGAGAATTAAATGAAATAATGCATGTACCATGTTTAGCAGGGTATCTAAAAAAATATCCAACACCATGTGTTGGTGATTATCACTGTTACTACCCGGTTGCTGCTGTCACTATTGCTACTATTATTATTATCTCTATTGGGATATAGAGTGCAAGAGGAGAAGGGAAAGGTAGAAATGAGATCAGAAGTTGAGTAGGGGTCAGAACACAAGGGACCATGAATGCCATGCTGAGGAGCTTGGTCCTGATCCTGAAGCAAAGAAAACCAGAAAGAGATTCTAAGAGATTTCAGCCAGATCTGATTCTCTGCATGTAGACCTGATGTTCTACAACCCAAAGACTGAATCAGGGAGACTCTCTAACAGTAGTCACAGTTTACTATGGGAAACACAGCCTTCTGTGTTGTGGCTCTAATTCTACACACCCCAAGAGTGTGGGTAATGGGTTGCAGCAGGAAGGACCAGAAAGAATGACAGCTGGCCTCCAGTCTTCACCACCAAAGGGCACTCAGATCAGATCCTCTTTGTGGATGACACAGATAAGGATACAAACTGCCCCCTGCTTCTACAAGGGATGCCTCTAGCAATGAGCTTGCTCAAACAGCAGAGGGAACTCTACACTTAAGTTTTAACCACTCCAAGTCCCCCAAAGAGCTGTGAAGGCCAGAAGGGACTTTCAAGGAAGGTTGTGAACCCAGCAGATACTACTCAGTGATGCAGTGAGCAAACGCACCAGGGAGTGGCTGCTCCACTAAATGGGCCTATCATTATTTAGCCTCCGATTAATGAACTGAATGGTCCTCTTTGGTGACATCATGAAAAAGATGTCAATGTAAAGTCAGAGCTCTCAGTTTCACAGACAGTAACCTTAATGCTCAAAGAACAGAAGGGATTTGCTCTAAGTCAATAGAATTCATGAGTCTTTACAGGAAATGTATTATTTGCTTTTTTGCATACAAAATAGTCACTTTAATAAGAAAAAGCTAATCTACCATCACTGGTGAATATAAAAATATTTTTATTTCTTAAATACCATAGTGATATACATGTTCTGCTTGCCTTTGCCAAGGAAGCTCCAGATAGTAGACCTCCTATGAAGATATCTTTAACATCTTTAAAATGAATGCAAAGTTGTTTTTAATCTTCATTGGTTAGCAAAATGGCCTTTGGGAGGAAACCAGACTTCTGGAATCAGCCTGACATGGAATCCTGACCTTTCCACAAACTTGCCTCACCTTGAGTGTGTCATTGACCCTCTCTGAGCAGCAGTGTGAACACTCAGGTTGGTCTGAGAGCTAGTTTAGCTGACCTAGGTAAAAGTATCAAGAAGAGTATGTGATCTATAGTAGGTATGATAACGATTGCTATCAGTGTCATCACCCTAGCTACCACTGCCTAGCTGAGTAACATGGAACAATGTCTTGAACTTATTTGGTACTTAATAATGCTCTAGAATTACTACAAAGATAAAATGAATGAAATGCATATATGGACAAGAATGGCACCTGACACATTATAGAAACTCAAGTCATACTTGTTGCCTTCTCCTGACTTTCGTAAAAACTTTTAATTTTAATACCTCTTGGAACTAGCAAATGGTATGGTGGTTAAGGCACTGGACTACAACATGGACAACCATGGTTCAAGGCCCAGACCTGGCGGCTTGAAAAATCACACTGGTGCATGTACTTGTGTGCCGAAAATTCCAGAAGGAAAATGAAGGAGAAGGGATTGTGGTATGGCCATTCCCTGGAGGGTGATTTCTCACTTCCCCTTTCACTGCAGTTCTCTGTCTCTTTCCAGTGAGCTCACACACAACACCCCCCCAAAAAAATTGATAGCTTTTTATGACTTAACAATAAAAAGGATGAATAATTTTTTTAAAAAGCCCAAGTGAAAGTAATCAATAACAATTAAAGTATGGCCCAGCCATAGTGGCATAGGAAGACAGGTTCACTGGGCAATACTAAAGCCATGTAAGAGGCCCCGCGTTCAAATCCCAGGTTAACCAAAACATGCCAGGTGTGCTTGTAGGTGCCTACAACCCTGGCTAACTAGAAGCCTAGAGATGCTGGAAGGACTGGAGAGAATTTGTCAAGGGTATCTTTCTCTTAGTCTCAAGAAATAAATAAATGTAAAAATAAGCAAATAAGTGAAATTTCGAAAATAAAAATTCTAAGATACTTGATGACAAGATGAGAAATAAAGAGGTTTTCGTTGTGCTGCCAATGTGGGAAGCTAGCAAATCTAGAATGCAAACCAAAACAGAAAACAAAATAGTAACTGTTCCACCAGAGGATCATGGAAAAAGATCTGGTGTTTCCAGTTTGAAAAATACCAAAAGACATTTAATGTACAATCTCCTTGCTTTTAGGAAGTTGCTCAGAGGACCTCCAATGTATGCTGAAAATGTTGCCATTCAGGAAGGCATGGGCCTACCTCCAAGGTCAGTAACCGAATCCAGGAAATCTAACCAAGGAAGCTGCCTCAGGGGCCTTTCAGCAACTTCTAGTCAGAGCTCCAAATATGAGACCTATGGCCAAATGTAACCTGTAGATGTTCTGTTTGGTCTGCATGACATTTTTGTTGTTGTTGTTAATTTGAATGAATGCCTGGGGAAACTGGGGTGGGAGGGCCAGGGGAAGAGTATTACAAACTTCCTCTTCTCTCAACCCCATTTATTCCTTTAGGTTGTCTACCTGTTGCCCCTCCCACCATTATCATTCCTCTCTATTCAGTTATCTACTGTAATAGTTTCATCAAGTACACAGTCCCTGTCCAATGCAAAAGAAGCAGGCTCTTAGAGTAGAAGGGAACCATAAAATTCATTCACAAGGGAATCATAAAATTGCCTTGTCCCTAGATTGACTGTATAATGAACATGTGAGCACAGGGCCTTTTCGCACACTGCAGTATACTTCAGGTAAGAAGTCCCTTACAAATGAAACAATCAGGCACTTACACTGCAAAAGAATGAGATGTAGAAGAGATGGCCAAACTTCTCTTAATAGCCATTCTATTCATTTTAAAAATTCAATTTTGCAATTAGATTAGTTCTTGCTCTTCAATTGGATTGGAATGAGGTTTAAAGCAAAAGCTGGAAGCAATTAAAACTAATATACCAGCTTCCCAGGTCTGAAAGGCATCCTTACCAGCCAGTGCTGATTTTCAATTGGTAGGACTCAGAGACTTGGCTTGCAGAGGCTTCGAGGGTCTCTTAATTTTCTGCTTTTCTATACATCCCAGATGACAAGAGTCTCTTGCCATCTCATGTGCATGTGAGGACTCTACACAATTATGCTTGCTTGCTTCTTAAAAGAAAAGAGACGCTCCAAAATTCAGAAAATGAACAAAGAATATATATTTCAATATGAAAGTTAAGGCAGATTCTTGTCTACTTCTACCTAAATTGGTTATTAATTGAGCAACATTGAATTCCTATCTCTGATACTTTCTGCAATGCTTGCCAAATAGTAGTCCCCCACCAAATGCTTATTCATGATAAATGAATGTGACAGTCCATACCTTGCAAAGGGTACAGTCCAAGAGCTTACAATCTGAAAAGAGAAAGATAATTATAATAACATAATAACAATGTGATAATAATTAAGCAGAAAAACATTCTAGCGGAAGTAGAAGCAGAGTTCCATGTATATTCTGCTCCTTTAACTTTGAGTATTAGCAAAAAACAGAAGTGATTTTCTACCTATCCCTTGAATGATAAGTAGGCTTTAGAGGAGTAACATAGAAGGTATTTGGCTGGTTGGAGCAGGCGGCAGGCAGCAGGCAATATTATAGAAAATATGGATCTTGAATAAAGAACCTTAAATAAAGACAGAGTTTTCCAGTCTATACCTGCAATTTGCTCAATAATTCTGTTTTTAATTCTTTTCTTCCCAGTGTCTAAGCATCTAAGCCAAAGCAAGTTGTCTTGGAACAAAGATAGCACTGCCCATGGGGTCATACATGAGGATGGGAATCTAGTAATCCAGATCCCAGGCTGGTACTTCATCATCTGCCAATTACAGTTTCATGTGCAATGCTCAAATCATTCTGTTGACCTGAAGCTGGAGATTCTCATCAATGAAGAGGTCAAAAAACAGGCTCTGGTGACAGTGTGCGAATCCGGAATGCAAACTAAAAACATATACCAGAATCTCTCTCCGTTCTTGCTGGATAAACTGCACGTCAATACCACCGTATCAGTCAAGGTGGACAAATTCCAGTATGTGGATACAGATACCTTTCCTCTTGAGAATGTATTGTCCATCCTCTTCTACAGTAGTTAAGACTGAATAATTTCTCTTGGGCTTCATGAAGAAAGCAACTCTCTACCACCCTTCATCCATCCATCCATCCATCTAAAAAATATTTTAGAGCTAGACACAAACCACAAAGAGTATTAAATAATATACTTCTCTTTCTGTCTCTTGGGAAGATACAATGCCAGTATTAAAAAAAAAGTTTTGATAAAGTATCTTGTAGATAGAAGACAGGGAGGCAATGTAGTATGGTGGAAACAGCCCCACATGGGAATCAGAAGGGATGGACAGATGGCCCAAACCAACCACTGATTCACTGTATGACCTTGAACCATGCCTTCTGTTTTGAGAGTCCTCAGCTAAACTGAGGAGCCAGTACCAGAGCAGCTCGCAACTCTATCCCAATAGGAAATGAAGGGAAGCTGAACATGGGTACTTACAGTATGCTTTTCACGGACTACTTCTACCCGGTGGATGGCCTAATGCTTCATGGTTCAATACATGACAGGGCATCCCTCATGTGGATAACTTGTTTACACTGGAAAACACTCATGTACTCACACCTGACCTGTGTTTGGTTTATGCTTACCTGACCATTACTCTGGCACTGGGAGTCTGACCCTGTGTTCTCCCCAGCATCTTGGGGAAAACTCAACTTGAGTAAGCCCCTGGTTCTTCAGATGAAAGTATAAATTTAGTATACTGCCATAACATGAAGCAAGTTCAAAGACTTTTACCTACAGAACCTGACAAGGAGAGTGTAATGAATCAGAGGGCATTCCTCTGTCCAGGGCTTCATGAAGCAGG